ACAAGAGCTGACGACCGCCTCTGCTGTTGTATCCCTTTACCTATGCCAGAAACCTGTCATCTCAGGTTCAAATCCCAGCCCACCCTGTTATGTTTCTAGGTTTGTCAGCACCAATGCAAGCTCATGGGTTTCACTAGGCTAACATCTAGTCTCTGTAATTAGCATATCTTACAGAAAAAAACAGTTGTAAAATTATCTTAATAAAAATCTAAGGTTTCACCAAAGCGGTAAAAGTCTAAGACGTGCCACGCTTTGGGCTTTCCTGACACATGTCATGCAAAAATGTGAAACACTCTTCAGATTGAAGTACAACTGAACTCACTCACTATGAGCTGATGTGGTATAGCTGTAAAAAGTTGTACTTTCTGATCACCCAATCAGCGCTGAAGCTTCTAAACATTTCTGTAGGCTTCTGACTGCCATGAAATGAACCAGGGCCATCATATTGTGGATGTTTTATACACCCTGTTTTTAGCAACATGGCATCTTAACCAAAAAGGTAGTACAGTCAAAAGAATATCTGTGTTCTGTGTGGGTTTTCATTTGTAGAAATTGAGGTGGTACAGAAAGGAAGACGAATCATTTTAGAAATCCAAGAACCAATGCATCCTTGATTTAGACTGGGCCGTTAAAGTTGACTCTGGGCTCACCTGACAACCCTCTATGGGTCTGATCTTGATGCAGTGAGGTATCATAACAGAGTAAAAGATTTTAATGAGACAATGACCTCGGGTCGAATGCATCCTTAACACTTCCAAACACTGAAGACAGCCTCAATGGTCTAGTGGTAGATCGTCTGCCCGGAGACTCGAAGGTCTGGGGCCCGATCGCCAGCCGCGTCATACCAAGAGATGTTAAAAGGTGGTACTTGTTGTTACCCTGTCTGGCACTCAGCATTAAGGGATTAAAACAAGCATTAGTTGGCTCGGCGTCAGTATACTCTATGTGAGTGGGGTATTCATGTTAAACTGCGGCATGGTATTTCAGTGGGGTAACACTATGAAATCTGCAAGCAACCACACACACTATGTGACTATATGACAATGGCACGCTAAAAACCTATGACTGTCTGTAGGTTCAAATCCTGGTTCGCCTCGAATAATGTCCCTGGGTTTGTCAGCACCATACCTGTGCTTGTCAGTTTCACCAAACTGGTAAACCTCTGAGACTTGCATCATTTTGGACTTTCCTCCCACTTAAAGCTGGCATGCCATGAAATAACTGGAAAACTGTTCAAATTGGTGTTAAACCCAAGTCACTCACTCACTCACTTTCTAACACTGGTTAACCTGGGCAAGACAACCTCTCAGCTCTTTAAAAAAAAAAAAAATCATCACCATCGTCTTCATCACCATCATCATCACCACCATCACCATCATCATCATACCAGACTTGGTTTCTCTGAACGTGGTTTAAGCTGAATTTAAGAAGAAGTAGACACCAGATTAATGAGATTGATAAAATAAGTCTGCATCAAGGAGTCTGATATCATGTGTATGATTGAGCACCAAATGATGTCATTTTCAATTAGGTATGAATGTAAATTTGTTCCATTGATCATACAGAAAGAAACTGAAATTCTATGAAGAATTGATAAAGTCCACAAGAAGACCTAATTCAACCATTAATTTTCGTAATGTATTCAGTATTGGTGCCTATTTTCCCCAAGTTTCAAAGATCATATTCAAATGGTAGGATTCTCCATCAATATGGCTGCCATGTCTCCAACACTACCAACTAATGGTTGTTTTGTCCATTCTGTCACTTTTATCAGTTCCTTGTCATTTACCTATTTTTCTCTTTCCTATGTTCCTATCTGTAAATGTTATTATATCAGGATCACTCCATCATTACAAAAGTGCACATTGAACAATAAAAATTCATAGATTGAGAATTTATTATTCAACTCTTTCTAAGATGTTTATAACTTTGCTAGCTTAATCAATCTTCATGTCTTATAAAGTTTTTCTAGATGCCAGTTTCAAACTTTCAAAACTAAATCTCAAATTGATAGTAAATTATCAATAAATCCCACAAAAGACAGAAAGCTTTGACAACTGGCTTGTATGTTTTAACTAATAATGTCATTAAGTTTGGTGCAGTGTTGAAATACAAATTGTGTAATCCATATTTAAAAAATGAAAGAAATACATGCCATAAATCATTCTGTGATATATAACAGCTGAAGATAATGGTATTTGAATGAAATTTGTAAGAAAGAAGAATGGTCGTCTCAACTTCATAAAGATCCAAAAATGTGGATTGTACATATATAACTGTCATAATATTTGAAAAGGAAGTAATGTATTTTTTATGATTTACAATCATAAAACACTTTCACAAGATATTAAAATAGTGCCAAAGCACTGTTGTTCACAAGGTACATGTACATTCAGTGAGTGAGTGAGTGACTATGGTTTTACGCTGCTTTTAGCAATATTCCAGCAATATCACGGCGGGGGACACCAGAAATGGGCTTCACACATTGTACCCATGTCGGGAATCGAACCCGGGTCTTCTGTGTGACGAGCGAACGCTTTAACCACTAGGCTACCCGACTGCCCCAAATGTACATTCAGAGTGAGCTGAATGTAAAACAGGGAATATGTAGCCATCAAAACAGGAAAGGTGGTTGTTAATTGGCTGTGTAATGTGATTTTGAAGGGGATCCAGAGGGGGTTGCAGGGGTGCACAAACTGAAGTAAAGCATAGAAATATTCTTCAGATAATGATGCTTTAATTACACTAATGATCATTACATCAAGTGTTGGCCATTTACTGTGATACTCTTCAAATACCAATTTTACACTCGATGGACTCTGTTTCATTGGATAAAACCTTTTTCTCTGGCATTGACATTTCATGTTTTATATTTAACCCCAAAAGGTTAATTCTACATCTGGGATCTGTTCCACAAAGCGATCATAGCACTAAGATGATCGTAACTCCCATACTTTAACATAGACTTATGACAGCTGTAGCACGAAGATGATCGTAACTCCCATACTTTAACATAGACTTATGACAGCTGTAGCACTAAGATGATCGTAACTCCCATATTTTAACAGACTTATGACAGCTGTAGCGCTAAGATGATCGTAACTCCCATACTTTAACATAGACTTATGACAGCTGTAGCACGAAGATGATCGTAACTCCCATACTTTAACATAGACTTATGACAGCTGTAGCACTAAGATGATCGTAACTCCCATACTTTAACATAGACTTATGACAGCTGTAGCACTAAGATGATCGTAACTCCCATACTTTAACATAGACTTATGACAGTCGTAGCACTACAATTGCTTTGTGGAACAGGGCCCAGGATCCCATGATTAAAATCTGAAATCCATTGTTCTGGTTCAAAATATATGCCCCTACAATGACACCAGGTGTAAACACGGTTTTGTGATATTACAATTTTTAAGGGGCGGTCGGGTAGCCTAGTGGTTAAAGCGTTCGCTCATCACGCCGAAGACCAAGGTTCAATTCCCGACATGGGTACATAGTGTGAAGCCCATTTCTGGTGTCCCCCACCATGATATTGCTGGAATATTGCTAAAAGTGGCGTAAAACCATACTCACTCACTCACTACAATTTTTAAGGGCAGAGAACATTGGTTACCGTTCAGAGCCCTGTTTCACAAGGTGACTTTGGAGCTCTTTTGTAGGTCTATGTTAACCTATGGGCATTACGATGATCTTAGTGCTAAGACTGCTTTGTGTAAAGACTGCTTTGTGTAATCAGGCCCTGATTTAAATCTCCACAATATTGAAACCAGGTGTTCAGAAGATTTGCTTGCCATTATTGATACCAACCATAACATTCACGAAGCTTCTCTGAAAAATCTCTATTCCATGTTATTGAAAGGTTAAAAAGTGAAATAACTACAGTTTCAACTAAAACTGGATATCTGCCTTAAATCTTTTTCATGCATGTTACCAACATTTGTCTCAACAATTATTCCCATGCTATTCAATCATTGACCGAAAAACAATCTTTTCCAACACCTAGATTCTTTTTTTAGTTTTGTATGTCAGGAAATAAAACCATCCATATTAGAAGAGATAGGCTTCATTTCATACACACGCAGTATCGATGGTACTTGGCTGCTTAAATTGCGCTGCATTTAATCATTGGAGCCATTCAGTGTAGCTTAAATCATATACTAGCTATGATGCTTCCCTGATGACAATGGTGCCTCTCATGAATGATAAAAAATGCTGAAATTGTCAGGAATAATTTCGAGGATCTGTAGTTTCCAGACAGCTCCAAGATTGCAGGAGCCATACTCTCGAAGTAATTGTGCTGTAAAACTTTTTGCCTTGGCACGAACACTTACATCAAAACCTATTTTGAAGCTGGTCAAAGACAAGCACTGGACACAACTTGACCTAGAACCATGCCTTGTAGGTCACCTAGCATATATCAATCCGATCCATTATCCCAACATTCCTTCACAATTTCGATTCATTTGGTAAAGTCATGTTGGGTCAAAAAGTCATTTTGCAACATCTACAACAGCGCAGTTGAATGCTGATCATGACATCTTACATAAATGGAATATATATAGCAGCAATCAATCAAACTCAGGAAGTATTAACTCTCCAAGCCTTTTATGGTTTCAGAGTAGAAAGTTTAGAAACATTTTATAACATTTAAATTTTACTCAAAATATTGCTTCCTGAAAAAGAATTGAAACCTTGTAACATGTTCAACACATTTAGCTAAGTAGGCGACGTAACAGACATGACGGATGATGTTGCATGATAGGCGATGTGGCATGACATGTCAAACAATCGTAAAATAACATCAAAGAAAGCATCTTGCACTGAAGAAATTAGATCTAGATTGTTAGAGATGGTAAAGATTGTCAGTTTTACATGCCTTTGCTGAAACAATTCTCACACCCTGTGTCGACTTGCCTAATTGACAATGTCATTCATGGCTTTAAGAAAATCGCAAAATGACCTCTAAACAGTCAATCACTACTTACCATGTGTCCTGAGCCACAACCATCGTAATGGAATCTATCTATCCAGTGCACACAGCCTATGAATCATGTACAACTCATTAGCTAAACACATCGTTCCCTGCTACTTCCTGTCTATCATTGTGGCTCAGCTTCGGCAGCATGTGAACTCACTCCATCTCAAAGTTTGGCATCCACTTCACACGTTTTAAAAAAATATTCATTTCAGGTAGAAAGCCAATTAATGTGCCGCACAGTGCTACATCTCAATGTTAAACTTCTGTAGAGAAGACACTTTGAGTGTATCACGATTTTACATTCCAATGTTACACTCTCTAGAATAGACACTTTGAGTGTTTCACTATGTCACGTTCCAATGTTACACTCCATAAAATAAACACTTTAAGTGTCACTATGTTACATTCAAATGTTACACTCTGTAGTACAGACACTTTGAGTGTATCAATATGTTACATCCCATTGTAATACTTCTGTAAACAGCCAATTAAATTGTAACACATCCCAATGTTACACTTCTGTATAACAGCTAATAATAGTGCAACACAATATTACATCCTAAAGTTACACTCTGTATATCAGCTATTAAAAGTGTGCACAATGTTACATCTCACTGTTACACTCTGTAGCACAGCCAATCAAAGTGTATCACAGCAATTAATACATCCCAAAACGAACACAACTAGCTGTACAGCCAATTAAAGTGTATGGCAGTGCCACATCTGCAGTTTTGTCCGTTTCAACATTAGAACTCAACACACGATTATCCAGACTGAGACAACCAAGAACGACATGAGATGACGGTGCCTCATTCATGATCATGTAACAGTGCTAATTGTCCAACTTCCCTTGAGAACATCCTCCTGTCATTAGATTATTTCACAACAAAGTCATATCTAGACGTTCCTTCACGGTAAACAAAACCATCATAAAAAGTGAGTCATTTTTTCAAGTCCAAGTAATGTGAAAACTTGTATCTCGTCATGTGACTTGCACGCACTCCTCAATACTAGTCCTCAAAGGTATAAACTTTCACAAGATTAAAATTATTCTACCGATGAGAATATATTCATGAACAGCTCTTGCACTTTTCCTCCACTTGCTTCAATGCAAGCTCTCTCCAGTAAAATCATTCTCCCATGAATCCAGCTCTTAGTAGCAGTACACTCCGAATTACTTATCCTTACATGTTGAGCAGAGCTACAATGAAGGCTGGTTTGTACTGCACTATCGCCTCACAAATGACAAAAGACGTTCGGCAGTTTGAGGAAACTACACACACACAAACACACGCTGCTAGCGAGAGAAGAATAAATTAACCTGAGTCTCATGGATCGAATCTTTTCAGTAGCACTCATCCTATTCACTGGTGATGAATGAAGGCAAAGCAGTCCCTACCAACAACTTTTTCTCGTACTCTACGCTGTGACACAATATGAAACTCCCTAGCTTATGTAGTTTGTAGTTTCAACAGATTCTCTTTCGTGTGGAGTTTCATACCAGTGTCTGATGAGGCAGTTCGACGCAGGGTCAATACTGCCTTGGGATGTGGGATGGTACGATTGCAAACTGATCTCAGTTCGGCTTGTTTCTTATACATGAAATTACACTTAATGGGTATACACTCCAATTGCTTCATTCAACAGCTATAAAACTATCTGTAATATCTCTTTAGAAGTTGGAGCAGAATGAATGTTGTGTGAACTAATTTCTACATATGGTTTAAGATTATGAGAGGCCCCCTAAAAGCTGGGCTGATGCCCTTTTATTTGATGTGAGAACGTTTGGAATGATTTCAGTCAAGAAATTATCTTTAATAAGGCATGAGTGGAGCACTGGAGAGGACTAAGTGAGAATGTTTCTGGGGACTCTCTTAAACCTCCTGTGACAAGCATTCAAGGGAATGGTGCTGGTTTAAAAAACATCAATCATATTCCAAAAAATATCCTGAAGTAAAGTTGATCTTATTGATGTTCGGCATTACACAACTGCAGTGAGTTCCTTATGACCTACACCACTCATAGAAATTTTATGTGTGACACAGTGTGAGTTAGTTCATATTAATGCTGTTTTGAATAAAATAACCGTTATTTCACTTAATAATGATCAATATAGAATAATTATTTATTACAGTGGGAAGTATTTGTATACACTTTATAATTTGGAGAGTACTGAAAGTCCACAGGCCTTAGTACATGTATTACAATGTATATATACTGTATAGATAATGTTATACACAAAGGAGTTTAAAGATATTGGGTCAGTTGGATAGCATAATGTTGGCTGGTTTGTTTTTTGTTTTACGCCGCACTCAGCAATATTCCAGCTATATCACGGCGGTCTGTAAATAACGGAGTCTGGACCAGACAATCCAGTGATTGACATCATGAGCATCGATCCAAGCAATTGGGATCGATGACATGCATCAACCAAGTCAGCCAGCCTGACCACCCAATCCCGTTAGTCACCTCATACGACAAGCATAGTCGCATTTTACGGCAAGCATGGGTTGCTGAAGACCTATTCTACCCCGGATCTTCACGGGTCTAGCATAATGTAGAAAACATCATCAAGCCAAAAACCTGCTTTGAACCCCCATACAGGTTTGGTTTTTGTTTTTTTTGGGGGTTTTTTATCGCCACACTCAGCAATATTCCAGCTATGTGACGGCGGTCTGTAAGTAATCAAGTCTGGACCAGACAATCCTGTGATTGACAACATGAGCATCAATCCATGCAATTGGGATCGATGACATGCATCAACTAAGTCAGTGAGCCTGATCCCCCGATCCCATTAGTCACCTCTTATGACAAGCATAGTCGCCTTTAACGGCAAGCCTGGGTTGCTGAACACCTATTCTACCCCGGATCATCACGGGTCCCGATACAGGTACAATATGTGAAACCTGTTCTTGATGCTACCTGCTGTGGGAATGCTAGAATATTCGTTAAAGTGACATTGAACTGCCCTCACTGATTAAAACACCTTAATTTGTGTCACTAAATTAAAACTGACATAATGTTCAAAGCTTTCAATTAATATTCCAATCTTAGAAATATGTTTAAATCTTATAAATATGTTTCAATCATTGAACTAAAGTAATCGCCAAATGGATTCCAATAAAACAATGGCATTGAATGCAAAATCTAATTTCGCATTAGCATTGTACAGTTCCAGAGCATCTGGCCAACATATAACTGAATTGTACAACAATAGCTCTATGTTTTCATGTATCAAATTTAAACATTAAAATGATGACAATGAAAAGCATTAGCTTGCAGCCGTGTACAATGTAAGTGGATGCTGAAACTTTGACATTATCCTTCCAAGTCAATTCCCAGTTTTATTAATCAAAAAGCCCTCAAGTGACATCTTTATAAGTTTTGTAAAACATTTTAGTCGGTTAATCATATTTCTAGAATTACATGGATGAGACATGCAGAGTAAGCAAAACAACAAGTGACTGTAGCTAACATGAATCTAGGACAACACCACAGGAGACGCCAGAATCTAGCATAGCAGCCAGGGTGAGTTAAATAGCTAGCACAACACTTAATGCAACACTAGGGGAGACACCAGAATCTAGCATAGCAGCCAGGATGAGATAAATAGCTAGCACAACACTTAATGCAACACAAGGGGAGACCCCAGAATCTAGCATAGCAGCCAGGATGAGTTAAATAGCTAGCACAACACTTAATGCAACACAAGGGAAGACCCCAGAATCTAGCATAGCAGCCAGGATGAGTTAAATAGCTAGCACAACACTTAATGCAACACAAGGGGAGACATCAAAACAACCACTGACTATCGCTAACCTGCAGCTCACCTGAGGCTAGCACAGCACAACATCTGACACTCAAGCTTACAATAACCTGAGTCTAGCTAGCACAACAGGAAACTTGCAAGGTAAACTAACCACTGATTGTAGCTAACCTGAGTCTAGCTAGCACAACAGGAAACTTGCAAGGTAAACTAACCACTGATTGTAGCTAACCTCAAGCTAACCTGAGTCTAGCTAGCACAACAGAAAAATTGCAAGGTAAACTAACCACTGATTGTAGCTAACCTGAGTCTAGCTAGCACAACAAAAAACTTGCAAGGTAAACTAACCACTGATTGTAGCTAACCTCAAGCTAACCTGAGTCTAGCTAGCACAACAGGAAACTTGCAAGGTAAACTAACCACTGATTGTAGTTAACCTGAACCTATCTTGAGTCTAGCTCGCAATATAGGAAAATTGCAAGGTAGACTAACCACTGATTGTAGCTAACCTCAAGCTAACCTGAGTCTAGCTAGCACAACAGGAAACTTGCAAGGTAAACTAACCACTGATTGTAGCTAACCTGAGTCTAGCTAGCACAACAGAAAAATTGCAAGGTAAACTAACCACTGATTGTAGCTAACCTGAGTCTAGCTAGCACAACAGAAAAATTGCAAGGAAAACTAACCACTGATTGTAGCTAACCTGAACCTATCTTGGGTCTAGCTCGCACAATAGGAAAATTGCAAGGAAAACTAACCACTGATTGTAGCTAACCTCAAGCTAACCTGAGTCTAGCTAGCACAACAGGAAACTTGCAAGGTAAAATTACCACTGATTGTAGCTAACCTGAGTCTAGCTAGCACAACAGGAAACTTGCAAGGTAAACTAACCACTGATTGTAGCTAACCTGAGTCTAGCTTGCACAACAGGAAACTTGCAAGGTAAACTAACCACTGATTGTAGCTAACCTGAGTCTAGCTAGCACAACAGGAAACTTGGAAAGAAAACTTACCATTGATTGTAGCTAACCTGAACCTATCTTGAGTCTAGCTCGCACAATAGGAAAATTGCAAGGTAGACTAACCACTGATTGTAGCTAACCTCAAGCTAACCTGATTCTAGCTAGCACAATAGGAAACTTGCTACTGAGAGCATGTATTCTGATGCTAGTCTACAGCTAACCTGAAGCTAACCTGAGTCTAACACAGCCAGTGGCTGTGGGTTAAGAATACTTTCCAATAGCCAACTTTTCCTTTATGTCAAGCAATTTTTGAACAGCTCCAGCTATTGGTATCTCAATTTCACAATATTTGAGGTACAACCAAGCATGATCTTTTTATGAAGATTTCAAAGAGCATCTTTGCTCAAAGTTATTTAATCATGGCTAGAGCATTCAAATATTGAAAAAGGCTTTAAGACAGACATGCAGAGGACATGTCCAAATTTGACACATCAGTGACCAAAATGATGTTGGATGCAATTGCTGTGTTTGTTCAGGTGACCACTTGGCTTGCCCTTGCATGTGTTTGTGACAGGTGCCACAAGTGGGGCAGGAAATGTTTACCTTTTCATGATAAGGATCTAGTCAGAATTGTAAACAAACATTTATGTCTTACGATTATGGCAATGGTTTTTTTTGCTTTAATTTCATTCTGATCAGACGTTTTTTGCCCAAATCCAAATGGACATTATATGCCTGTACCTTAATTTTGCTGGAATAGAGTTGATTATACAGGAAACACTCTCCAGTAATGCACTTTCCCTCTGTTCATCAGCAGGTTGACTCAAACTACAGACATAGTTAAATATTTATCATTCTGTTATTCATATATCTTAGCTTTAATACTGACTGTACAAATCTTTTCCTCTGGTGAGATCCTTGCAATTTAATATTGACATTCGACGGAAATATATTTTTGTGCTGTGAATGCTGTTTCACAAGGTGAGGCAGAACAATCAGCTTACACGCCACTTGTAATTTCCCTCTTGACATAGTGAGACGCCAGTATTTGCGTCATTTTTATGAAATATTATATTTGACACAACAGAATCCACTTCTCCCATGTGAATCATTTTCCAGCATGTTGTCAGGTTTGAATCAGATTAACTTCCAGGATTAATTGAAAATACTGGGAGTTGTGATTAATTTTGAGATTTGGTCTCAGGGTACATAATTAGGGGTTTTAAGCTTGAAACCAAAAGTGATGATGATGATGATGATGATAATGGCTATATATATGTCTGAATTTACTCCCGCTTTCATTTATTAGTGCAGGATAAGATCTCAATGCTTTTCATTTTGAATCTGAGTTATATTTGATACATGAGAAAATAATTTTTCAGAAATGTCATTTATTACTTTGCCCTTTTTCGAGAAATTGTGTGTGGAACAAAAAGAAAAACTTAAAATTGGTCATCAGTTCAAAATAGATTTATCAGAATAGATGGCGACAAGAATCCATCTCTACACATGATAAATGTGAAGCCAGGCATAATATACTGCCAAGTACCAGTCAGTAAGAAGAGCTCCATTGCATTGTGTGATACATCCATTATGCTTTGGGGGGATGGAGCTATCACTGTATGGAGCTTGGAGGAAATCTGTGCGCTCACAGTGACATTGTGATCAAAGGCATCTATGAATGACGATTTGTGCATGGTTAACAAACCAAAAATATTTCATGGTCATACAAAAATCTTTAA